TCGGTATGGAATCAGGTTAAAATCGCAACAGGCAAAACGAAAGCCGACTAGTCATCGCATAGCCTCAATCCGAAAGTAAACCTAGGTCTTGCCCTAAACCCAGCACACTGGTCGCTAACGTCTCAAGGCATGAATCGAGATCCTAAAGGCATGTCTCTTCGTCTATATCTAAACGCTCACTCGATTTACTAAACATCCTGAAACGAGCAAACGAATAAGGCGATACACTAAGGGAAAGGAATGCGAGACGACAACTCGCGGACTTCCCTCAATATCAACTCATATTCTTCCCGCTACATCATACGAATAAAAACACGCTCTTAAAAACGCAAACTGATTTTTAATAAAGCCGCAAAAGCGGCAGGGACTCAGAGCCGCACACGGCCAGTCCAAAAACTATAACGGCCACGCTCGGCCAGACCAAACGGCCTACGAGGCTAGTATCAAGGCCGACAAAGGTCCAGATGCCATCGACATCAATATGCTCGATAATTACTACACGACATATAACTAGACCGTAAAGGTCTTGCTAGGAAACAAGTCATACAAACCTTAACTCCAAAACGAACTATGAAAGGCTTGATCCCCTCAAAAGGGTACGTAGGCAGCCTTCACAAGGCGCAGCCCTAATGTTAAACACATTCCGCTCCCTGGAGAATGAAAAGATCACTCTCAACGGACCTTTCTAACCATTAATTCCGCCTAATTTAACTAAAACTGGCAAACCACTCGCAAGAACCTTACGCTAGAAGCTCAAGATTCTAGCGAGCTGAGGGGCTAACTGTTGGTGTCAAAATCGGTTACGACGGAATCAATGGCTAAAATTCTCCGCAAAAGTAAAAATAAAAATACGTTTTATAAAACTGGAAATATCGTTTTATAAAACTCGAGAAATCGTTTTATAAAACTCGAAGAATCATTTTATAAAACTCGAAGAATCGTTTTATAAAACTCAAGAATCGTTTTATAAAACTCGAAGAATCGTTTTATAAAACTCGAGAAATCGTCTTATAAAACTCGAGAAATCATTTTATAAAACTCGAGAATCATTTTATAAAACTCGAAGAATCGTTTTATAAAACTCGAGGATCATTTTATAAAACTCGAGGATCGTTTTATAAAACTCGAGAATCGTTTTATAAAACTCTAGAATCGTTTTATAAAACTCGAGAAATCGTTTTATCTCGAGAATCATTTTATAAAACTCAAAGAATCGTTTTATAAAACTCGAGGATCATTTTATAAAACTCGAGGATCGTTTTATAAAACTCGAGAATCATTTTATAAAACTCGAAGAATCGTTTTATAAAACTCAAAGAATCGTTTTATAAAACTCGAGAATCATTTTATAAAACTCGAGGATCGTTTTATAAAACTCGAAGAATCATTTTATAAAACTCGAGGATCGTTTTATAAAACTCGAGGAATCGTTCTATTAAAACTCAAAGAATCGTTTTATAAAACTCGAGAATTGTTTTACAAAACCGCGAAAAACCGAAACCGCCATAAAACGCGAACTAGTCCCATCTCGACTAGTTCGCCCACTGGCGAACTAGTCCCATCCCGGCTAGATCGCCGTTGGGCAAACTAAGAGGTGCTGACTTTGCCCCACAGGTTCTTATCGCCTAGTTCGCCATATGGCGACCTAGCCAAGCTGAACTAGCTCACCGTACGTCGAGCCGACCATCCCAAGCCTCGATCTCCCACATCCTTGATTCAAGGAATACGTCCTTCGACACGATCGTTTTCCAAATCACGGTCGAAATGTCTCCCGTTTCGTCTCGATCCGTTTATCGTTCGAGTTTTAAG